TAGAATTTAGAGCAATTTTCCAAAGTTACTCTCCAGACAATATACTTTTGGTTGATTCTTGTATTTTGTGTCTTTAACTTGCTTAACACTTATCAATCCAAATAAACAACATATCCTTTCTTCATAACTTGATAAGTGAGGAGGGAATCCATAAGAAATTCTTTAGCACCTTTAATAATAATAAGAGAATCTTAATAAATTTCGAGTGTCGAATAGATTTTTAGGAATTTCTCAAATTATTCCTCATTAAGAGGCCGATCATCCTCCCACAAATTAGAGGAAAGTCTCTCATATCACTAACTTTTCTAGGGCGATATACTAAGGTCTTCTCTGATCTGTTTGGGTCGATTACAATCTCGATCTTATTTTTATCATTATCAACTTTCTTATCTTTAATCTTAGCTTCATCTTGAAACTCAAAATTGATCGTTCGTGATGATCTTTTTGCTTTACATCTAATTTAAGAACAAATTATTTTATGTTAATAAAAATCAACATCATTCATCAAATTACTTAATCACACTAGATTAGTAACACGGACATCCTAGTGACATGTACACACTTTTTGATACTTTTTAACTTCGGTTTAGGCCAAGAATCGGCTAAACCTGCAGCTTTGATACCTATAAATGTAACAACATTAACTCATATATGTACCCGTATACGAGTTAAAGATGTCACACCAATAGTATAAAACATTTACTATTTGAAAACCAGTAAAATTTTGTTTCTTTAAAATCTTAAAATGCATTTCTTTATTTTAAAACTAATAATCACACAACCACCATAATTTAATATATAAAAACATAATTTAATATTGTACTATTCATTTATATTACTAATAGTACTTAATATTATCTATTTTAAAACAATTCTAGATATTATGTTACAAACAGTTATATAACTATTATATATATCATAGCAACTAAAACTTCATTAATATACATGCCACTAAACCAACCATAACCGAAAAGAGAGGAAATCAAATTGTAAGTGAAATAAAAACGAAGGGAAAAGAAAGATGAGAGGGAGAAAAAGGCTTACCCTCTTCGCCGATCACCGGAGAAGCCCAAACGTCATCGGAAACCCAAGCTATCCGAAGGTAAATCTTTATATCTAAGTGTTTTGGTGAGTTTCATGAGTTGAAGGGTTGGTTTTCAGGTTTAGGGGAGAAAGTGGGTCATTTAGGGCTTTTTAACTCGAGCAACGATCACTGTAGATGGTTGATAAAGGCGGCGACACTCAGTGGCCAGAGATATGCTTTATCTCTCGCTTGAGAGAAAATGAAAGAGAGATGAGAAAGGTAAGAGTGAGAGGCTAAGTATGAAAAAAAAACGTGAGTCTAGGGTTAAACTTTTTGTATAAAAGGGGTATTTATATGTCATTCAAAATGACGTAGTATTGGGGGATAGGGTTTTTTGAATTAGTGCTTAGGATAATCGTGCGAGAAGGGCCTCTGATTTTGTAATGTTTTGTTTTGGTCACTAAATGCAAAATTTCATTTATTATGTTTTGAGTTTTAAATTTTGTTATGCTTACAATTCAGTCATTATTTGTTTACATTTATGGTTTGGTTTAATATTTGATCGTACCCTATAATTTGAGATTTATTTCATATTAGTCTGTACCTCTTCTTTAACATAGTTTTGATATTGTTTATAAAATTGGGTTGTTTGGTTTGATTAATTTGCGTTTTGGCCCTTATGTTTATCTCTGAATAAATTGGTTTAATGCTTGATTTAGGCTTTAAATGTACCCCCAAGTTTATTTTAGTCATTGTCATTAGGTTTAATATTTAGGATATGGGGTTTTACTCTCATTTAGTCCTTATTTATATTTATTTTGGTTGGTCATTTTTATTATCATTATGTATTTGCATTATATATATATATATATATATATATATTTACGTATAGTTATATATATATTATTTATTTTTATTTTTTATCTCTTTATCCTACTTTAATTTATAAAACAATGGTATGTGATCATGTTTTAGATTAAATAACCCAACCGTTATTTTTATTAGTCTTTATAATAATATATATATATATATATATGTATTACAGTTTAAAGTAGTATGTTTAATATATGGTTGCAAATATTTAATATTAAATATACATATTGTTATATTTAGGCTATATATTTTATTAAAGGTGGCATTTTTACTTTAATACATATGTATAATATTTTATCAATATGGCTTTTCAATGTTTCAGTATTGATAAAATCTCTAGTTGTTCGACTAACTTATGTAAGAACTCCAAAAATCTAGGGTGTCATTCTAAGGGTTATTCGAATAAAATTGATATTTTTATAGTTATTCGATATTTATTTATATTCTATGTTTATTTTTGAAAAAAGTACATAAGATATGTTTCATTCAAATAAAAGTATTTTTTACTTATCATATAATGAAATTATTTTCATAAAAATAAATATTCACGGTGTTTTTATTTATCTCATTATTTTAGTTTATTTATCATATACTAAAGCATGAGTATCGATAATGAAGGGTCAGTATTGATATCAACGGTCAAGATTTGGGCAAATAGCCCAAATTTTAACGTATTTTTATGTGAGGGACCCAAGAACTCTTATATTTATATACTCGGATAAGACTACAAGTGAGAATCGTAAATTATGAACAAAATAAAACTAGAAACCACATTAATTAGGATGAAATAATAATAACCTTGTTTGACTCTTGGGAAAACGGAAAGGACACCCGACTTACCTTAGTAGATGATGTTAGTTGTGAAGTATAGATTGTCCAGATATCCTTAGGAGGTGCCCAAGGCACTAAGACTAACTATGCCACAAGGCCTCAACACTCGCAAGGGGTGGGTTAGTTGGGTGTCGAATCTGATATAGTAATTTTGGATTCACATCCCCGTAAACTAAAGGGGTAAGTGAACTCCGAGATACAATAATCCCTCAGTCGTACCATGATGTCTACCCTAGAATAGTGTGAGTATGTGTGTATACTTACTTCTGTTATCGATTTGTTAGCATGAGCATTTATGAACACTTTTAGTAGTGAGCTCATCGTTCGGAATTGTGTTTCCGTTCGAAAGTCTATAGGTGGAGCATTCAAGGAGCTGATCACTTTGCAGATATTCCAAACAGTCGAGCAGTTATAGTACGTCTTGAGTCTATCTTATTAGAGGGCACATATAATTCATAGACCTTCTTATACTTAAGTCGTAACTGATCTTAAATACTCGATTGTACTTTTGATATATTTATTTTGGGAGCTCCCCAGTACTCTAAACTTATATTATTTTGTGTGATTTCATGGTTTCTAAATGGTTGTTAATCATTACATTATGGGTGTTTTAAAAGAAAACTTTTGGGTTACCACTCCGGTGGTCATGTGTGACGTTGTAATCAGTAAACTGTGTGTCGTATTGGATTAGGGTGTTGCATTTATTCCCCGTTCTGACATTACATGAGATTTATTCCCCGTTCTGACACTACATGTGATTAATTCCTCGTTCTGACATTGCATGGGTTAATTCCCCGTTTTGTTCTGTTTGGGATCCTCATCAGAGGGCTAAATCCCCATTCTGGTTTTTGTTTATGGTTGGGATCCTCTTTGGAGGGAAAGTTCACATTTTGTTTATCTATGGCGAAAAGTAATGTGCTATTGGTGTTGTATTATGTTGGTTAAATTTTGATTTATTATTACACTTTATTTGTACTATTTTAGAAATACTTCGATACATGTTTTATTGTAGAGGACACAACGGGTTTTACAACTCACTTTTTAGTTTTTGTCCTTTCAAATTACTCAGACACTTAAGACTACGACTGATATTTGGAGGATCGTTAGTAGCCGTTTACTTTCGGACATTGTATGGATTTTTTTTCAGACTTTATGTTATTTATTTTATGTTGATTATATATAGATATTTTTATGGGATTCGGGATTTCTTGTTTTATATGTTTCCTGCGTTAGAATTTGTTTATTTGATTTTGTTACGAACCAATGCTTTTGAACTTGAATTTATTCTTTATTTCTGACGATGCATGTCTTGAATTTGAAAGTTTCGTTGTTTCAATAAATCTGAATAAGAATGTGGTTTCTAAAATTTGGTCGTAACATCCAGGTCATGTCTAGAGGATTACATTTAGATCTTCGCAAAGATTAACTTGAAACTTGGTTCCTATCAATTATTTTTTAATAATAATTGATATTAAAAAAATTATATTCTTAGGAAATAAATAAAATAAGCTTTATTCACCCCTCAATTGAAAAAGCTAGATACTATTGTTGGAATTATTGATCATTAGATATTATCAAACCTTTTCAATTTTATTTGGGTCTTTCTAATAAATTCTTAATTTCGCCGGTATTATCTCCAATAATGCTTTCAAGTTAGTTTAACATGTTAGTTGGTTGGTGGGATGGTGGTCTATTTTACAACCAGATGAGACGATAGTTGAATCAAAGCTAGGATGTTAGCCATTTTTATCTGATTGTTTTAAGAACTCAAGTTCTTATTGACGTCGATAAGCGAGTGACACGAGAAGTTGTTGAAGGTGAAAGTGATAGTATGATTTGAGATTTAGAATTTAGGTATGTTTTTGAACTTAAATTTTATTTTATTATTTTAAATTTATGTGAAAAAAATACAATATCATAATAAAAATATTATTAAAATAGTTTATGTCATTCTAGTGTGATTAAGAAGAATTTCAAAAATTCAATAATTAAATTAAAAATATTTAAATTTTGATAATAAAAATAGGGAAAAAAAATTAATCAAGTGATGAAAGTTATAATCTATCTTAAAAAGTATAATCTTTTGCCGAACAGCTTACGTGTCGGATTCAAATCTGTGAAAAGCAAAAAAAGGAGCATTTATATCTACTTAACTTAAAAGTAGATAAATCGCTGGAGATCTCCATGATATTTTCATTTTGTTTGGTGCCAAATTAACGACCCACAAAGAGCGGTGCAATAATTACAACGATTCATCATCTCCTCCTCAACTTTCTCTTGTATGAGATTCCGCAAAGGAAGTCAAAATAAAAATCTACGTCTTTCCACTCGCTTTGTCCACCGACCATGGCGGCGGTTACCGTAGGCTCGCTTCTCCAGAATCCTACACTTTTGCTTCGTCCCAAATCTAAGACGTTGTTGAAACCGTCTCGCTCATTGGATTCTTCTCGAAATCGGAAGGTTCTTCACTCTCGGAGCTCTTGCTTTTGTAGCTTCAAGCCTAGCCGATCGAGTCATGTCGTCAGAGCCAACTCATCGGAAACAGCTCTTGTTGACAACTTCGATACCTCTTCTTCCGATGACGTCTTGTACAAGGAGACTTTTCCAGTCAAGAGAATTGAAAAGGTTTTCTAATCTTCGGCTTTATTATGTATTTGTTAGTACTTTGAAATGGCGTTGCTTGATATGTTTGGAAAATTTTAAACGTTTGATGTTAGTTTTGTAAGTCCGGCTGATCAGTGACGCTTAATTCAATACACTGTAATAGTTCCTTGGGAAAAGTATAGTTTTCAAGTTGAACATATCTGACTACTCTATTCTAGTCTCAGTGTCTCTTTGGAGAAAAGAAATTACTGGTAATTTGAGCAGAGATCTGGGATTAGGTTTCGGTTTGATTCAATGTTTTCTCTCTTTTTGATTGGCTGTGAATTTCTTTGATTTGAGATGTTAGGTGGAGGGAAATATTTTCATCAGGTTGGATCAATCGAAGAACCAGCAGGATTGGCAGCTTACAGTAGGATGTAGTCTTCCAGGAAAGTGGATACTTCATTGGGGAGTTTCTTATCTTGGCGACAGTGGCAGGTTAGCGTTGATTCTAAGAGTTCCTCGGATGTTTTTGTAGGTTAAGGATTTGAATTTTATTTGTGCACATAAAGATGGAACTTTACTGTTGGGGAGTTTAGTTACCAAAATAGAAGGTATTTAGTACTTTTTGTGTGCTAATAGATTGTCTGCGAATTTTGCAGTGAATGGGATCAACCTCCTAAAAACATGAGACCTCCTGGTTCAGTTCCCATCAGAGTATGCTTTGGCTTCTAATTCTTGTATTTCTGGCTGCCTTTTCATTTTGAACATAACTGCATTAAGTGGAATCTTTTCAGGACTATGCTATCGACACTCCCTTGGAGAAACGGTCTAAAGGAGAGATGTTTCACGAAGTAAAGATTGATTTTAACCCCAACAGTGAAATTGCTGCTATACATTTTGTTCTGAAGGTTTGTATTTCCAATATGAAGTGATCGAGAAAATGCTTTTTCTTTAGATATGCTAATCATCAGTCAAACTTATTATTTGTGGGGTAATATGTTACTGCAGGATGTAGAAACTGGAGCATGGTATCAGCACAGAGGTAGGGATTTTAAGGTGCCTCTGGTGGATTACCTCAAGGATGATGGCAATACAGTTGGAGCAAAAAGAGAGTTTGGTGTATGGTCAGGTTGCTGAAAGTGTTATATGTAGCAGTTTTATTTTGCAAGAATTCCAACTTATTCAAGAAATCGATTTCTTCTATTCATTTAAAAATTCATCAAGGATAACTTTTTCTTATTACCAAATTCCAGTGTGAGCTTTAGTCACCCCTGATATAGACTTAGGGATGGGCATAAGTCGGTTTTCGGCCGACCCGACCCAAAAATTTTACATCCTTCAATTGACCTGACCCGAAAATATATATCCTCCACCCGAACCCAACCTGATTTTTTGAGATAAAATCCGAACCCGATTCAACCCGACCCGAAATAATAATAAAAATATTATTTTTATTCAATAAAAAAGTGATTTAATTGAAAAAATAATATATAGAGGGGTATTATTGTAATTATTCCTAAATATATAAGATAAAATTATATTTTTCCGGGTCGGGTATTTTTCATCCTAAACCCGAATCTGACCCGACCCAAACCTCATTTTTAAAAAAATCCGACCCGTTCGGGTCGGGTTCGGGCCCATGCCCATCCCTAGATATAGTATATATTATAGATCATGAAATTCAGTGGTTTTGAACTGATAATAAACTTTTATTGTAAACTGAAGATGGCTTAATTTACTGAAAAGATGGGTAGGATTAACATCACTAAATCGCTTTATTGTTATATTCCTTGTCTTCTGTATGGTCTGTGACCTGTGCAAACATGAATTATAGTTTGTGTATCAGAGGTTGAATTCCGCCTCGTTCCCTAAAGCCTCCTAGGTGCAGTTACAGGTCAATATAGAATAATGAGTTAAGTGGCTTACATAAGATCCCATCCAAGCCTGATTCTTGGGAGGTGGTTCAGGGTGGGAATACAGTGGAATATTTTCCTACCATATATTTCGTATCCTCTTTGTTCGTTGTTCAGTGATATACTGATACTTTCCCTTGGCTTCTCCTGATCCTAGGTGCTCTACAGCAATTCTCAAATGCGCTACATAAAGCAGAAGCATCACCTCCTGATAGTCCAAACAACGAGTCCAAGGACTCTAAAAGTAACAATAGGCCCCTTGAAGGGTTCTATGTGGAGCAGTCCATTGTAAAAGAAGTTTCTGTTGATAACTTTGTGAGTGTCGCCGTTAGGAAGTCACCTGAAACTGCAAAACTTGTGTTGTATTTGGAAACTGATATACCTGGAGATGTTGTGGTTCACTGGGGCATTTGCAGAGATGATGCTAAAAGATGGGAAATTCCTGCTGCTCCATATCCACCGGAAACAACTCTATTCAAGAACAAGGCTTTACGCACTTTATTGCAGGTGTGAATTGTAACTATATTTCTCATTGAGAACTTAAGCGTAAGCTAAGTTCTTACTACAAATAAATAGTTCCTTCTTGCTAAAACATGCTAAGCATATGCATTCTTGTTGACATGTCAACAAATAATTTTATGCCAATTTCACACTGTTGCTTTGTTTTCCTTTATTACTTGTGATAAATCAAAGCATATAATTTTTTGGGGCACAGATTATAAGATTTTTGTTAGATTATTCCGGAACACATTTCTGTAGTTACAAAAGGATGAAAATATTAGAAGACATCACTAATAGTTTGCGAACATGCTATTTGTCAAGTGTAAATGTCTAAAAGCATCTATTTTCTGTAACCTTGTTATAGGGTTTTGACCAACTTCCCCCCTTTTTGACCCTCTTGATTTAGAAATTTTGTTTTATTCATTTATTGTTCTTACATCAAAATCCTTCTTTTTGCAGACAAAAGCTACAGGAAATAGATCAGGAGCATTATTCACCTTAGATGAAGAGGTTTTTGGATTTCTTTTTGTCCTCAAGCTAGACGATAACACTTGGCTGAATTTTAAAGAAGATGACTTCTATGTTCCCCTCTATGGTAAAAGTAGTGTTCTGGGTCAACATGGCCAATCTGATAGTACAAGTGAAGAAATTTCTAGTAAATCATATACTGATGGTATCATCAATGAGATACGAAACTTGGTTACTGGCCTTAGCACTGAGAAGATTCAGAAGACCCAAACAAAGGAAGCACAAGAAAGCATTCTTCAAGAAATTGAACAGCTAGCTGCAGAAGCATATAGCATCTTCCGGAGCTCCATTGTAACTTATCCAGAGGAAGATGTTTCAGAAACTGATACTGATACAATACAGCCTGCTGTTAAAATATCCACTGGAACAGGTGTAGAAATCAGAGTAATTCTCTGTAATTTCTTATTCTTTTCAATAGGACAAATTGCATATTTATATACAAATCATCTCTCTAAAGTAGGAAACTCTAAGAAAGGAAAGATACTAATCTTAGGAGATATGATCTCTTAAAATAAGAGATTGTAGAATATTTACAGAATCCCTTAATTAAAGGATATTTACAGAATCATATATTTCTATAATTCCTACACTCCCCCTCAAGCTGGAGAATATACATTGTATAATCCCAGCTTGAATAGGAATTTATTGAAAACAGGCTTTGACAAAGCCTCAGTAAGAATGTCTGCAACTTGTTCTTCTGAAGGAATGTATGAAAGTGTGGCTGTCTTTTTGTTAACTTGATCAGCAATAAAATGTCTATCAATCTCAACATGCTTTGTCCGATCATGTTGAACTGGGTTCTTGGTAATTTGAATAGCAGATTGATTATCACACAAAACTTTAAAGTGATCCTCTTGATTAGTGACAAGTTCTTTCAGTAGTTTAAGTATCCAAATTCCTTCGCATATTCCCAATGCTAGTGCTTTGAATTCAGCTTCAGCATTACTTCTTGAAACAACAGATTGTTTCTTACTTCTCCAAGTTATAAGGTTTCCCCAAACAAAGGTGCAGTAGCCACTAGTGGATCTCCTTTCAGTAAGGTCTCCGGCCCAACTAGAATCTGTAAAGATCTTAACAGTTCTGTCTTGTGTCCTCTTAAACATTAAACCGTGCCCTGGAGTTTTGTTCAAGTACTTGAGAATTCTATTTGTTGCTGCCATATGCTCTTCAGTAGAATTAGTCATGTGTTGACTTATCACATTTACAGGAAATGTTATATCTGGCCTTGTCAAGGATAAATAAATTAGTTTCCCAACTAATCTTTGAAATTTCTTTTTGTCTACTAAGGACCCATCTTCTTTGTTAAATTCAAGCTTGCCTCCATTGGTGTATCATTCGACTTACAACCAAGAAAACCAGTTTCTTTGAGTAAATCAAGTACATATTTTCTTTGGTTGATCACAAGTCCTTTTGACCTTGCCACCTCTATTCCTAGGAAATACCTTAGCTTTCCCAAGTCCTTGGTTTCGAATTCCTTATTTAACAACTTCTTCAAATTGCAAATCTCTTCTTCATCATCTCCGGTAAGAATTATGTCGTCCACGTACACAATAATGATAACTTTCTTATTTGTAGAAGTTACCTTGATGAAAAGAGTATGATCGGCGAGGGACTGCTTGTAACCGTTTTGTAGGATGACTTTAGTGAACCTTTCGAACCAAGCTCTGGGTGATTGTTTTAACCCGTATAGAGACTTGTTGAGCTTGCACACCTTGTTACTTCCTTCAACAGACTTTAAGCCAAGTGGCAACTTCATATAGACTTCTTCTTCTAGCTTGCCATTAATAAAAGCGTTTTTTACATTAAGTTTGTGTAATTTCCAATCGCAATTTACAGCCAAACTTAGGAGTACTCGAACAGTATTCAGCTTCGCCACAGGTGTAAAAGTTTCTGTGAAATCTATCCCATATTTTTATGTAAAGCCTCTGGCCACTAGTCTCGCTTTGTATCGTTGGATGCTACCATTGGAGTTATATTTTACAATAAAGATCCATTTACAACCAACAACCTTTTTTCCTTGAGGAAGGTCCGTAACGGTCCAAGTAGCATTTTTCTCTAGTGCACAAATTTCCTCTTCAACAGCCCTTCTCCATTTTGAATCCTTTAGAGCTTCAGCTATGCTTGTGGGAACCTGTTCTTTATCCAAGTTTTCTGTAAATGCTTGAAAAGACGGCATCAATGGATTATAACTAGCAAATTTTTCAATAGAATGCTTGGTGCACTGTCTAACCCCTTTTTTAATAGCAATAGGGAAGTCATCTAGAGTAGGGGAAGTGGACTTACTGATTTCTTCTTCTATTTCGGCAGTTGGACCAAAATCCAATTCTCGGCAAGCATCAGATTGCAAAACAACCTCAGGAATATGTTTTCTTTTCCTTGTATAGAAATGGAGTTGTTTGATTGGTGGTGTTTGTGGAATATTTTGAATGGGAGTAGGTGTATTTTCAGGAAGGGTATTTAAAGTGGGTATGGGTGAAGTAGTGATAGGTACTGCTGGTGGATCAATGGGAGTAGTTACAGGTGACAAATCTATAGGTAAGGACAAAATTGATGGCAATTCTGAAGGTTAAGAATGAAAAGTAGGAGGAGATACCTGATGTGGCTGAAAATCCTTCCATGTCTCCCCCTGAATTTCAGCCTGAGTGAAATAGGAATCCTGCTCATAAAATGTTATATCCATAGTGGTAAAAAATCGTTTGAAGGAGGATGATAGCATTTATACCCTTCTTAAGTGAAGAATACCCAACCAATACACACTTTAATGATTTAGGATCTAACTTGGACTTATTAGGAGCAATGTTTTGGATAAAAACAGTACAACCAAATATTTTAAGTGGAAGAATGGAGGAGATAGATTTAAAATGGGAAAAGTAAATATATATTGAGGTGTTTGAAATTGTAAAACCTTACTAGGATTCGATTAATTAAATATGTAGCAGTTAATAAGGCTTCCCCCCACAAATATTTTGGAACATTAGTGGTAAATAGAAGAGAACGAGTAACTTCAAGGAGGTGTCTATTTTTTCTTTCGGCAATACCTTTTTTGTTGTGGGGTGTCAACACAAGAACTAATCTGAACTATGCTTTTTTCCCTGAAAAACGCACCCAAAGACTTAGCAAAAAATTCACTGCCATTATCAGATTTAAAGAGCTGAATTTTAGACCCAAATTGAGTGAGAACCATGTTATAAAATTGGGTAAAAACACCAGCAGTTTCAAATTTATCTTTTAGCAAATAAGTCCAAGTTATCCTACTGTGATCATCATTGAAAGTGATAAACCACTTACAATTATCAGCATTCTTCACCCGATAAGGGCCCCAAATATCACTGTGGATCAAAGTAAAAGGGTGAGAAGGCTTATATGTAGAAGTAGAATAAGTTGATTTAGTATGTTTGGCAAGAGAGCAAACTTTGCAAGAAAAAGAATTTGGCCTTTTATGAATGAATAGAGTAGGAAAAACTTTTGCAAGATAGTGAAAACTAGGATAACCTAAACGATAGTGCCATAACATAACATTATCAACTTTTTTTAAAGCGGTGAAAGATTTCGAGATTTCGGTTTTAGTAGAGGCAGGAAGAATGTAGAGACCATTCTGCAAGTTGGCTTTATCAATCATCTTTTTCGAGTTCAGTGCCTGCAAAGTACAATCAATATCATTAAAAATTGCAGAGCAGTGCAAGTCGGTGGAAAGTTTACTAACAGAAACGAGATTGCAAGCCAGATTTGGTACGAAGAGGACATTTTTAAGTACAATCTGGTCATTGAGAATAACAATGTCATGTCCTTCTATTTTGCACAAAGAACCATCAGCCATTTTGACAGCTTTACCAAAGTTTGGAAAAAAAATTGCAAAACAAATCCTTATTACCAGTCATATGATCCGTAGCACCAGAATCGAGGATCCAATTAGGGGTCGACTGGGAGGAGAAAAAAAATTTAGCATGAGGTTTACCTTCTGGTTCTTTCATGACCAGATTACCTTCTGATTAAGCAGCAGAACAAGAAAAATTTTCTGGATTCGAAGTGATCTCCGAAGTAGAAGAAGAAGTTGTGGGCATCGTCTAGGTTGGAAAGAAACCGTAACCTAAGCTGATACTATGTAGAAATCATAGTAATTCTCTGTAATTTCTTATTCTTTTCAATAGGACAAATTACATATTTATATACAAATCATCTCTATAAAATAGGAAACTCTAAGAAAGGAAAGATACTAATCCTAGGAGATATGATCCCTTAAAATAAGGGATTGTAAAATATTTATAGAATCCCTTAATTAAAGGATATTTACAGAATCATATATTTCTATAATTCCTACAACAGGCACAGGTTTTGAGATATTGTTGCAAGGTTTCAACTGGGAATCTCATAAATCTGGACGATGGTATTTGGAACTCAAAGAGAGAGCTTCAGAAATATCTTCGCTTGGATTTACTGTGATTTGGCTACCACCACCAACAGAGTCTGTCTCACCTGAAGGATACATGCCAAAGGACTTGTATAATCTAAATTCCAGGTACATATTTCAAGTTTTTACGTTACCAATCTTTCAGGGTAGACCATTTGGTGCTTGGACTAGATCATAGAAGCTGAAACTTGCAAATATGAACTTTCAACTTCTTTTACATAACAAGTACTTTATGATAATTATAACTGAGAATCTCAGATAGGGAAAAAGAGAGATGAAACTGCATTCTTTTATGTTTGCTTCAGTGGCTCATATAACTGCCTTGGTAAAACTAAATTGAGACTTGTGTTACTCTTATTAGTCTAAGATATAGCTTGCGAATACCTATTGGACATCCAGAGATGTAGAAAATCAATAGTTATTGACTTATTTCTTCCATATGAAAGAAAATATATGTTGTGTTGCATGATCCTCAAAGGGATTAAAGCAAAACATTGTGTAATTTTTCTTGATTTATCAGATATGGAACTATTGATGAGCTGATGGAACTTGTGAAGAGCCTCCATGAAGTTGGTCTGAAAGTTCTAGGTGATGTTGTATTGAATCACCGTTGTGCACACTCTAAAAATCAGAATGGAATATGGAATATTTTTGGTGGTCGTCTAAATTGGGATGATCGTGCAGTGGTTGGTGACGATCCTCATTTTCAGGTAACGATGTTTTCTTTTGTTCTGGAAGCTTCGAGAAACATAGGATATTCAATTCAAGTAGTTCATGGATAGCAGATCTTAAATTCCTTAGTAAGCCGACTGATTTGTTGCCCAAGTTCCTATACGGCTTATGCATAATTTTGATTGTTATAGGCAAACATTGTTCAGCTAGCTTCATGCCAGTGTTTATGCTTTTTCTTCAAATTTTCGATCCAAACCTGAAGAATATTTCTTATTTTATGCTTGAGATGTTGCAATTTCTTATACAGGGGCGGGGCAACAAAAGTAGTGGAGATAATTTCCATGCTGCTCCAAACATTGATCATTCCCAAGAGTTTGTGAGGAAGGATCTCAAAGAATGGCTTGGCTGGCTGAGGTTAAAATTTAATTTAATTTCTTTCTACTATCTGACATGCATGAAAGGATTCCTAAAGTGTGTATTTTCTTAGTTTGATCATGATTTTGCCTTCTGTTCTTCCCTGTCAAAAGTTATGCAGTGGAAACAGATGGATATATGCTGAATATTTGGTTCAACTCTATTGATAACGTTGTCTTGTCTTGTGTCAAATCTTACTTAAAACCCTGTATATTGAGAATAGAAGATATACAATATAGGCATCATGAAATATTTACATATAATTTGCAGCTACTATGGATTGTGCTGTTTGCTCATATAATTCTATAGGCCGCCAATAGGATGATTACATAAATGAACTAGAAACACGGTTGCAGTTAATATTAATTAGTATTTATCCTTTGTTTCTAATTCAATACATTTCCCAAGAGAAACAAGGTGTACTGATGGAAAATTCCTCTGTACACAAGCAAGATGCAAAATAGTGGTTCTTTGTCACAAGTTTTCAGTCGAATCCTCCATATTTGAGAATTTACACCATCTCCTTTTTCAAAAAAGAAAAAAAGAGAAGAAAGTTTCTTTGTTCTCACTGTATGGCCTATTTTTACAAAAGGTTTGTGAAAAGAAGAAAAGTATCTTTTTCAGATGATGGATTCTCTTGGCATAGCTATTAATAGTCGTCTTGCATCAAAATGAAAATTCCTCTGTACACAAGCAAGATGCAAAATAGTGGTTCTTTGTCACAAGTTTTCAGTCGAATCCTCCATATTTGAGAATTTACACCATCTCCTTTTTCAAAAAAGAAAAAAAGAGAAGAAAGTTTCTTTGTTCTCACTGTATGGCCTATTTTTACAAAAGGTTTGTGAAAAGAAGAAAAGTATCTTTTTCAGATGATGGATTCTCTTGGCATAGCTATTAATAGTCGTCTTGCATCAAAATGACATTCCGTTGAGGTATTTGATTGTTTCAATTGCTTAATCTTAGGTTCTACTTTTTGGTTATTCTTCCCATATTTTACACTTCAACTATTTGAACTCCACCCGTCCCCCTTCAATGAACAAGTCATCTTCTGTTTCTTTGAAGAATATTTCTTGCTTCATGTTTCTTTGTAATGCATATGTCTGCTGCATGAGTTTATTGATTTGATATTTTGCTGTCATTTTGTGACATGCAGACAAGAAATTGGTTATGATGGATGGAGGCTGGATTTTGTCAGAGGATTTTGGGGTGGTTATGTCAAGGACTACTTGGATGCAAGTGAACCTTACTTTGCTGTTGGTGAATACTGGGATTCTCTTAGTTACACATATGGTGAAATGGACCACAACCAAGATGCCCATAGGCAGAGAATCATTGACTGGATTAATGCTACTAATGGAACTGCTGGTGCATTTGATGTCACAACCAAGGGAATTCTTCATTCAGTAAGTTTTCTTTCAAATTTCTTCTGTAGAATTTTAGTGAAAGAAAAATTACAACCTTGTTTATATTGGTTGGTGTTGCTGCTCTGCCTACAAATTGAGAACTCCATTTGGTGTTTCCAGGTGTATTGCACCTAGCTTTTATGGCATGCATGTTTTCTTGTTATCTTTTGCATCATTCAAATTTTTAAGAGGTCGAGGATTTGATTTTTTTACTTCTCTAACTAGCCCTTCCTCTTGGTCAATTCTCTTTGGCAATTATTTCTAATAATTTATTTCCTAAAGTAGTAAGGCAAATGTTATATTTACGGATAATTGTTTCCCTCAGGCTCTGGAAAGATGTGAATATTGGAGATTATCAGATCAGAAAGGGAAGCCTCCTGGGGTTGTTGGATGGTGGCCGTCTCGTGCAGTTACCTTCATAGAGAATCATGACACTGGTTCTACCCAGGTTGAATCTCACTCAAATGTCTTTCACTCGAACCATTTCTTTTCTTTTTTTGCCAACTGAAGTAATCCAAATGATGCATGCAAAATCAAGTGCATGTTATAATAACACTTCCACTGAAACTGAGGCATGAAATTGTTGGAGTTCTTTCTTTCTTTTTCGTTCTCATGTACAAAAATTAATTTTCTTTAGGTTTCAGTTGAACTTTACTGAATTCAAACATTTTATGGAAGAAAGCAGTGTTTACACGATGAGTCCTATGAATTTCTTAATTGATCCTAAATGATTCTTCTTTGTAAAATGCTTGAAGTAAGTCATTGTTACTTCTTTAAGTCCAAGGTAAGTCCAATTCACTTTTAATATTAAGTCAGACTGGAGAGTACTCGTCATAATATATGGTTGATTCATATATGTTCACTGCAATTTTATTTTGGAGAAAGAACCTTGAAGTTCAAACTTTGAGGAGAGATTGATTTTTCCCTTCTTATCCATTAATCCTTTGTTTTTGCAACCCTCCTGAAGGGTCATTGGAAGTTTCCAGGTGGAAAAGAAATGCAAGGATATGCTTATATCTTGACTCATCCAGGAACACCGGCTGTGTTCTACGATCACATTTTCTCTCATTATCGATCTGAAATGGCTGCCCTTATCTCTATCAGGAACAGAAACCAAATCCATTGCCGGAGTAAGGTGAGTATCATAAACTAAGGTTTATGTGGGAAGCGTTTCCTTATAAATTACTATTCTTTTATACTTGAGAACTAACACAATCTGATCTTTATAAAGAGAAAATTTTGGAAAGTAAACATAAACATTGTTTATTAGAATTCTAGTGTACGGTTTGTGAAAAACAGGAAACCTTTCCCAGACTGATTCGAGTGCTTCTAACTTGCTTATTCAGATTGCATGAATCCAATTGATTTCGGTTTTTCCAACTTATATGTGCTGTAAATTTGCTACCTAACTGCAATCATTTGTGCTGAGTTTAGCCAGTTGTTTTTCTAACTTCATTTTGTGAAATATATGGCAGATTAAAATTGTCAAGGCAGAGAGAGATGTGTATGCAGCCATCATCGACGAAAAAGTCACGATGAAGATCGGACCAGGTCATTATGAGCCTCCGAGTGGTCCCCAAAGATGTTCTGTAGCCCTTGAAGGGAAAGATTACAAGGTTTGGGAAGCATCTTAACTGTAAACCATGAGCATTATTTATTTTTCCAGGTGTATATAACCTATATGGATGTCGATCATCGAGTAGAAAATGTATTGTTGAGTTTGTTCGGGATAGCGGTGAGGGGTCGGCCCTCACTGATTATTTGGCATTGTTGTACCATTTTTTACTCCTACATACGTTGGGGTTGCCCCCCCCGGGGGGGGGGGGGCGTATTGATTAAAGGCATGCCTAGACAAGGTGACTATTGAAGCCAGTGATATCGTAGGAAACATTATCCTTTATATAAACAGGATATGTATTTTAAGAACATATTGTATTCATGTTATTTTGTAATGAAATAAAAACTATACTATTATTCAACATGATGGTTTATACAGATTTAATTATTTATTTTCTTTTAAGGATTTGAATTTGATTAGTTGTATTAGGAGGAATATGTATATCATCAATAAATTTTATTGTTAAAAATAAAATAAAATTTTAGATATTATTCATTAATTATCTTAGAATAATTAAAATTGATATTTATAATATAAGAACAATCGCACCCTGGAAAATATTTGTTTTGGACCGCTTGTGTCCACAGGCTTTGTTAATGAAAGTAATACGCGGGCATCTTTTTCACAATTCTAAAGAACATTCTAGAAAAAAAAGTGATTAAATTAATCTTTTTCATACATAATAAAAAATTACACGTAGGAATATTCATGCATGTCGTAGTTTCGCTATCAACTTGGCAGTAAGGGCCCCATCCAAATAAAATAATAAAAAGATATTGGCTGGCTGGCTTCTTCCCATATGTAATGAAGTAAGGGGATGTAAGATAGTAAGCTGCCCCCAACATCAGATTGAGAGCAGTTTTCGTAGAAGACCTCCGAATTATGAATTGTCTGTCCAGCTCAGTTGGTAGAGCGCAAGGCTCTTAACCTTGTGGTTGTGGGATCGAGTCCCACGATAGGCAATTCATAATGCTAGAGGTCTCTCACAGAAGCTGTTCTCAACCTGACGTTAGGAGCAGCCTGCTATCCTACCTCTCCTTACCCCATTACATATGGAAATAAGGTCAGCTAATAAAAGGATATTTGAATTGTTATAGAAAAATTTTCCATTAAAAAAATAAAAAAATATAGATATGAAAGGGACTGACCTTTAGTTGAGCTAATCCTTCGTCTGTCTTCTCAAAGCATAAAATAAACTATAACTCATTTGATTATATGTTTTAGTTATAAATAAATTATTTTCTTTAAAAGTTATAAATATTCAACTTAGTTAAAATATTATTATAAATAAGTATTAAAAAATAAATATTATATAAAATAATAATGTGATTTGGTATAATAATAATCTTTTAATTTTTTATATTTTATCAATTTAAAATAATCAAATAAATTTAATCATTTATATTAGAAATCTTATTAATTTAATCTTTATTCTTTTAAATTATTTATTCTTTATCTTATAAATGTTATAATTATTTTATTATTTTTCATATAATAACAATTTAACTATAATTTATTATTTATTTATAAATTAATATAGTTATTAAACTACTATCTTTATAAAAATAAATTGATAACTTTTTAAATTATTTTGAATTAAAATTTATTTGATAAAACTTTGTAATTTTAAATTTTAAAATTGCTATTATATAAAGGTTACATAGATATTTGTTTTAATTTTAATAATTTATGATTAACTTATAATAGTTTTTTAATTAAATAATTTGTATATAAGTGTTTTAAAATTATAACTCATTTATTATCGAATACAAGTATGCATTTTATTTTTTAATGTTATAATTATAAAAAAAAACTGAAATCTTCATTTTTGGAATCAATTGGCTTATATAATTGCCAAGAAAAGAACTTTTTTTAATTTTGAGAAAATGATTCTCTGATAAAATTTTCCGTTTGTTTCCTGAGCAAATATCGGGAAGGAAAACACTTTTTTTTTCCTGTTGTTAACTCGTTTGTGATTGTTAAGCTTTCTTTTGGAGAAACCTGGTTATCTTGCTGCGTTTACTCTGTATGAAAGTCTTTTTGTTCCCTTTTCTTGTTCTTTGATTTCTATTTCTAGAATTAGATTTTGTTCTTTTTGGCTTGTTTTTCTTCAATTTTGCTTAGATTTGTGTATGATAATTACATATCTAAGGAAAATTCTAGGTTTGATCGCTAAGATTTGTTGATGCTTCTATTATCGTTGTTGTTCTAGTTATGGATCTTGGTGGTTTATTAGATTTGTGTTTTTAGCTTATTTTCATGGCGATTTAACCTTTCTATGCGTAGATTCTCCCGGTTTTTTATGCTAGGTGTTAATTTGTTCTGATTAGAAATGATTGAATTACAATCTTAGTTTCATGTTTAATGTGTTGTGATTTGCTGAATCACCGTCTTGAACAGAATATAAAAGCAAAATTGTTCTTTCTGTCATCTTTGGTCTTTTTTCTCTCAATTACTTTGTCTGTAAGCAATTTACTACCTTTTTCTGTATGATTAGCATTTAAATTGATGTTTCCAAGTTGTGAATGTTTAATTAGAACCGTGGGATGTTTAACTAGAGTTTACGGGATTGGAATGAGTTGCTTCTTGTTGTGTTGCCCTTGACTTAGTGGTCCTTTCATCCTTTGCATGCACCTTAAAGTCAATATTGAGGTTTGAATGTCGGTCTACATATAAAGTTATAGAATTTATGTTCAAAACTTGGTTTACTTGTAGAAGTCTGATTTTAGTCTGGTTTGGTTTCTTTTAATGTTAAATTTGATTTTTATAATTCAATTTTTTTTTCATTTTTGTATTGATTCTGGATTGGCTTCCTTTAAACCTACAGGAGGAGGTGAGGATGTCGACCCCTGCGAGGAAGAGATTGATGAGGGATTTTAAGAGGTTGCAGCAAGATCCTCCTGCTGGAATTAGTGGTGCTCCTCAAGATAACAACATTATGCTCTGGAATGCTGTTATATTTGGGTATAAGATAAAATAAGAATGGACCATAATTTTCTTTTTAGATTAAGATTCAATATAGTGTGCTAATGTCTTGATGGATTTGCAGGCCTGATGACACCCCTTGGGATGGAGGTAAAGTAAATTGTGGTGCATATTTTGGTTTAAAGTATCAATTTGTCTATGGATCTTTGGTTGATTTGTTTAATCGACTCTTTAAAAGATTTCTATGCACACTATATGTTGATATAATCCATCGAATTGGAGACTGTTCGTCAGTAATTCTATACTCCCGTAATGATGTTGCCAATTTCCCATATAGTAATTGGTTAAATGCTTCAAAGGTTGAAGGTTGGATTTGTTTGATGGGGAGTGGCATTTTTAATGGCCTCGTATACTTAATTTTCATGTGAATAGGTGAAGCAGAAGTGGAACAATCTTTTTCATTGACTTGAACCTTAGGAATTTTTTTAATTCAATGGCCTCAAGATTATTATTGTTAAGGATGTTCTTGAGAGGAAGGCCATAGGATCTCTGCGTTAACCTTAAAGCGAGGACGGAAATTGGTCATGCATATTTCTGTTGTGAATTATAATTTGAATAGTAGAATTTAAGTATCATATATGCTTTGGGGAATTATGAGTGGATATTTTTATCACGAAATGCAGGTAAACTGCTAACAACTATAAATTAATATCTGTTTTTATATTTTTGAGTCTTTTAGGTACGTTCAAGCTGACACTTCAGTTCACGGAGGATTATCCAAACAAGCCACCTACGGTTCGTTTTGTATCTCGAATGTTCCATCCAAATAGTAAGCCTCTAGACAAATCCTATTCTTTTTTGCTGGATCCACGTTTTTAGCTTGCATTTTCATTTATAGGTGTAATACATTGGGTGCAACTATAGCAATTTTGCTTTCTCACTTGCCATGCTTTTATTTTTTATTAACTATACCTGTGAATAAGTAGACCTAATACTGAGAAAGTGATTGATACTTGTGCTTTCTGAATGAGTTCCCTAAGTGGGTGTTTATTGTTTAAGGAGTACATGTAGCATTTGTTTATGAATCTGCAAACATTCGCGAATGTGTAGTAAACACAATGCCATCATTTGCTATCTGGTTGTGTCATAGACATCCGTACAACTGAAGTTTTGAAGCTGATTTTGACTTGGCAAATGTACATGTTCAGCTTTAGTTTCTGGTTTCCATCTTTTGATTCTATATTATATTTTATTTTGTTATCATGATATTAAGTTTTATCTATGTGCTTTTCTGTATTTTGGTAATCAACAATTTTGGCTATTCTTGATCTGATCCCCATTTTATCCTGTAAATTTCTCAGTATATGCTGATGGAAGCATCTGTTTGGACATTCTACAAAATCAATGGAGTCCAATTTATGATGTAGCTGCGATACTGACATCTATTCAGGTACCATATAACTTCTTCAGGCTTTAATTTGTGGCTATCTAAGGACCATGGAATAAAATATTATTAATTCCAATTCCACCTGTCATGGTATATGCTTTGAAACCACCTGCCTAATATTGTAAACTTATGGAAGAAGTTTGAAGCAAAAATATCGGTTACCATTGCGAAGCTCTATGGACAACCAGCTTCTCTTATTTTGTTGGAAGATCTATCATTGTAATGATGATATTGGCATATATTTTTTTGTCCTATCATTCATTCATGTGAAGGATCCAGATCTTTAACCATGTACATGCATCATTTATGATATTTCTTAGCATTGACCTTTTGTGCGTATACACAGAGAACGTATAGAAATTGGAGGGAAAAAAAGTGACTTTTCTTGTGAACATGTTGGTCCCTCTAAATTAAGAATCGTTGGTTCTAACCCAGATAGGTTGTTATAAAACTGTGGTATTAATGCATTTAACTTGTATGACACTTATGGTGATCTCTCTCCCAGACTTGTTTTAAAGCCCATCTTATTTTGTGTATGCAGTCATTGCTTTGTGATCCAAATCCAGACTCCCCTGCAAATTCAGAAGCTGCTCGGATGTTTAGTGAGAACAAGCGCGAATACAATAGGAGAGTACGTGAGATTGTCGAGCAGAGTTGGACTGCCGACTAAGATCTCATGTTCGACTCCATAGTAAGAACGAAGCGTGAATACAATAGGAGAGCATGCGAGACTGTCAAGTGGAGTGCGGACTGCTGATTGATAGCTCGAGGTTTGGTTTGTATGGAACAGCAAAAATAGTCCAGTGGCCTGTCTAAATAACATTGAAAACTGAAAATGTGTTGCAAACTATTTTGACTCTATTAGTTGTTTGTCATGAAAATGAACGCTGCTGCTTGGGCAGCACTTTCATCTAATACTCAAAAAGCATAAATAAACCTCAAGTCGGTTAATCAAACATGAAAATTACATTTAAATGAACTTCTTGATGATGGTGATTTGTGTAAATACAAGTGGAACTATCGAGTTTATTATGCTACAGATAAAATTATACTGCTATATGATAATATATATAGGCATAATATTCACTTATACCGTATATAGCTATTCTTTAATTTTATAATGATTTAGGATTTAACAATTTAGGATTATTGTTAAGGTTAAAATTTTGTGCATTCTCATTAATCTCTTTTTTCACATGCAAAAATATTTGTTTTAGTTAGAGTTTCTTAGTTTATTTTTATCAATCGGATTACTCTAAATCAGTGAGAGTTTAAAGAACTCTATACAATTTTGCCTTGTAATAAAAGGACTAGTCCCGAGAAGAGGTTGCATAGAGCTTGCTTAAAAGCGTTGGATCATAAAATCATTTTCACGATTCTAAACAACACAAAAAGAAAATGAAAAAAAAAAAAACGGAAACCAAACCTGTGCCTTCAAATCCTTCATAAAAATTTGTTAATAACTATATCAACTCCTCCGTTAAAAGTTAACGATAAATTATTTAATTAATAATGATAAAATGATCTAATTATAGATAAGAAGTAAGATAAGTATAATTTACTTAAAATAATAATACTAATTGATTTAATGTTCGATTTGCGAGGATGTAAAAATTTACAAATGAACCAGAGACAGGTAGGGATGTAAAAAGCTAATCCGACATGTAAAACTGACTGAAATTGACTAAAGTCAAAATTGTTTATGACCTGAGCGGTGGTGATCCGAAACTGATTCGAGTATGAACTGGTGTTAACTTGAACCGAGTTAGACCTGGAAATTATGGATCTGAACCCAACTTACACCCGATCTGAAAATGACCTAAACTCGAATTGAATTGATAATATGATAACCGAACCCGACCTGTATCCAACTGATATGAACCTGAATCCGAGATTAACCTAGAAAATAACTAGTATTACCTGACCTGTTATCAACCTGACCTGTAATTGACTCAACCTGTAAATAATCCGATTTGTTATTGACCTGATCTGATATTTACCTGACTTGATATTTATCTAACTTATTAGTTGTAATTGATGAAGTTGTGAGATTTTGAATTATTAATATGATTACTTTTAAAAGTTAAAACAAATTTTTAGTTATGATAATTAAATTAATAAATTTATTTTCAATATTAATTATAATCTTTATGTTATAAATTTTAATTATAATCATTAAATTAGTTTCACTAAATAATTTATTTATTGAACATGATTTTATTAGATTATATAAAATTAATTTAAATATTTATAAATTTAATTTATTTTTCATTTAATAATTAATTAATAATTTAAATATATTTTAACATAAAATTTTAAAATATACATATTAGATGAATTTATTTGAGATTGAAAATTATATATATATATATTCAAAGTGAGTGGTGAGAAAAAGTTTGTTTTGTGTGAAATTTTTTGATTTTATTTGGAAATTTATAGGGAAATTGGGAAATTTTGGGAATAGAGGGAAATTAGGAATTTATAGGAAATTGAAAAATTTTGGGAATAGAGGGAAATTGGGAAGATGGAACCAAGTGGGATGAGATAAGTGTCCGATAGATTTTTGGGTTAATTAGGCCCATATGCCTCCAACAATTATCGTTTTTCTACTTTATAAATTGACTTTTGATTTTTAATCATGGTTTAATTGTAAATTTCTTCTTGAATTTTTAATTCGATGCAATTTAATCCTATATACATTCTAATTACTTTTAATTTCCCTTCTTTCTTTAACGTGCATAATTATTAAATATAAATGTTAATTTTATAATCTTTTATTTTAGTCACTTATGTTTAATACACACACACATACATATGTACATACATGCGTATATATACTTATATCATATAGTTTATATACTTATATATTATATACTTATGCTATATAGTTTATATAGTATATAATTTATATATTTTATAGTTTATATGCATAAGTATAATGTACATTATAATATATATAAATGTATTGTATTATCATAACATTCAACATACATATTATATTATTATATAATATATACATTAATATATATTATAATTGTTTCAATTCTTTTCTCAACTTTTGAAATGAATGCAATTCAGTTTATTTTACAAGTTTTCTTCATATATTACAATTATTTTGATTTGACCCTCCTGTGTTGTTTAATTTATTTAAATTTTAATTTGTAATTTCATAGTTGTTCAATTTAGTCTTTAAAATTATATTTTATATATGGAATTGACACATACTTATTTATATTTTTTGTAATTTACTTCATACCCTATAAATCACATAATAAACTTTATTTCAAATTTTATAAATTATATTATTATCTCCAAACCCTATAAACTTTTATTCACCAACTTTTAAATGGATACAATTTTGTCTAATTTTATATTAATTTCAACTTCACATTTTAAAATTATTTTGATTTGACCCTCATCAATGCTTGTTGTTTAATTTATTTTTTTATAATTTCATGTTTGTTCAATTTAGTCCTTCAAATTATATTTTGATCAAAATTGATCCATAATTATTTATATATATATTTTTAATTTAATCTCTAAATCATATTCATTTACAAATTGCAATTCAACGTTTATGAAAAACGAAAAATAATTAATTTAAAAATAAAAAATGATTGACCTGAAGTTAATCAATATTCAGTAAGATCTGACCTGAATTTTGTGTGTCAATGATGTGATCCAATCTGAACGAGATCCGACTGAAGTCCATCCGAACCTGAATATACCTGGTATTGAACTGCTTTGGACCTGAACCGTTTTTACCTAAACTGACATCGATCCGAACTGAAATTAACCTGACCTGAACTCGAACTGAATTTGATGTTAAATCAATCTAAATATGATCCGAATTAATTTGAGTTGAATCCAACACGATCTAAGTCAAACCATTAAATTAACCTGATATGATTTATATTCGATTTTACCTAATCTACAAGATTCGATTAAATTTTGAACAATTACTTGATTTTCCATCCTATAGACAGGTCACCTATATATCGCCTTTTTATTCGGACTTGAAAGGGGCCCACTTTTGAGGGTCAATTTCATATATTTATGTATTTGATTCTCTTGTTTTTATTTCTTACTGAACTTTCTTCTGCTTTTATTTATATTTCTTATGTTAAATTAACTTTTGAGATTGTATAAGGAAAGGCGGATTAATATACGATTAATATATAGTGTTATCGGATACATTAAAAGATATTTGATAAATTCAGTTTAGCGCTACCAGAAATATCGAGTAATAATAATGTAATAGGTGAAAATCATGAAGAAATATTAAAAAATTTGGCAACCGACAAACTTAGCTTATCGGTTTGTGTCGATACTTTATAAAAATATATTGATCCATAACAATATAACATGTAAAAAATGATAAAACCGATCTATAAATGACAAAACAGGTAAAGCACTACCGGATATATTGAAAGTGACGATACTTTATAAAAATATATTGATCTATAACAATATAACAGGTAAAAAAATGACAAAACCGATCTATAAATGACAAAACAGGTAAAGCGCTACCGAATATATTGAAAGTGTCGATACTTTATAAAAATGTATCGATCTATAACAATATAACAGGTAAAAAATGACAAAACCGGTCTATAAATGACAAAACAGGTAAAGCGCTACCAGATATATTGAAACTGTCGATACTTTATAAAAATATATCGATCCATAACAAATATAACAGGTAAAAAAATGACAAAACCGATCTATAAATAACAAAACAGGTAAAGCGCTACCAGATATATTGAAAGTGTCGATACTTTATAAAAATGTATCGATCCATAACAATATAACAGGTAAAAAATTGACAAAACCGATCTATAAATAACAAAACAGGTAAAGCGCTACCGGAAAAGTTGATGGTGTCGATATTTTATTATAAGTATCGACACTTTTGGAATTTAAAAGAGAAGAAGTTACAGCGCTAATAAAGTGCCGATACTTTATAAAAATGTATCGATTCATAACAATATAACATGTAAAAATATGACAAAACCGATATCGAAATGACAAAACCGGTAAAGAGCTACCGGATATGTTGAAAGTGTCGATATTTTATTATAAGTATCGACACTTTTAGAATTTAAAAGAAAAGAAGTTATAGCGTCAATAAAGTGTCGATATTTTATAAAAATGTATCGATCAATAACAATATAACATGTAAAAATATGACAAAATCGATTTCGAAATAACAAAATCGGTAATAAAAAAGTGTGTTTGTGTAGTCATTTTTATTTCAGAATTTTCATTTTTTAATTCAAAAAATTGGATATTTTAAGCAAAACCCAGTAAGAAAAAAACAAAAACTTTGCAGTAACAAAAGAATAACATAAGGAAGCCCACCATGTTATCAGTTTCTCAAAGAACAAAAACCCAGAAACATACATTTATCAATACAAACTTATGATATACTCTTATTATCTCCATAGGATAAAGTTATGTCAATTTTAGTTTTATTTTTTTTGTTAGGATTTTGTGTCATTGAAACTGTTAATTGAAGAACTTAAACTGGTGCATGCATAAGTGTTTATGCATTTATGAAAAGTATCGATCAAAAAATATCGAAATCGATAATTATTATATAACAGGTAAATTTATAATGTAACCGATAAAAATATACTGATTAATTAGTAAATATGTTTACATTATGTATCGACACTCTTTAAATATATGTCGATATTTTTTTCTCAAAATGATAATACAACAAGGTGCACGCATAAAGTGTCGATACATTTAAAATTGTATCAATCCAAAAAACATCAAAACCGATAATTATAATGTAATATGTAAATTTACAATATTACCGATTTAAATATACCTATTTAGTTAAAAAATAATTTAATATAAATATTACCTAATACATTATATAAACGCTATGTAATATATTATTGTAATTATTTTACAAGTCAGACGTTTTTTTAGCAGAAGTTCCCACAAGTTTCTTTTATTTACTGTCAACACTTTATCTTGTTTGAGGAAGCCTATGTTCCGTATTGATCTTCATCCCTAACAGTACATTTTCTTCTTATCGTCTTTATAAGCTTCAAAATTGAAGTTCTCTACAAAAGGGAAAAAAATGAATTTTCCTTTTTCAGATCCCTGAATGTTCACTTTTCTTTTCCAGTTCTCTTTAGTGGCTCTCTTAACTTCTCTTTTCAGCTGCGACGACTTACCAGTGCTTCAAATTTGATGCATTTTCTGGTAAAAGCTTTTTATCTTCTTCTTTACCTTACTCGTTTTTGCCGCCATGCTTGCTTTTGTTTACGGACAAGAAATCTGCTTCTTGTTCCATTTTGGCGTTTTTACTGGCTTTTAGTTATATTATTTAGCTTAACTAGATGTGGAATTTAGTTATGAAGCTTGCTTATTCTTTTTTATTTTACTTTTGAGACCATGAAGGAATCTGAAAAGGAAAGTAAAATTTTGACCTTCGTTTTTAGTGTTTTTCTTCTTCTTCTTCTTCTCTTTTTGGGTGTAGAATTTTTTGGCTTCAAACTTCAGTTGTTGTCTTGTTCATGTTTTTTGTATTTTCTTTAAAGAAAGGTTTTAGTGCTTCATCTTTTATGGTACCTGACAACTAACAAGTTATTGGTATGCAGTGTAATGAAATTTTATCGTCATCAATTGCAAAATGTATTAAGAAATTTAGAACACTGGTTGGTGTTAAATTCTATGTTTTTAATTTTATTTTATTTGCTGCTTACATGCAATTCTGGAATCTGGATAATATCGAGGTTTTGGTTGGATATGATTTTCACAGATTTCCAGGTTTAGCCACTTGTGGATTTTAATTATCTTTTGTTTTAACGAATATGGGAAAATCCCCTGCAAAATGGATCAAGACCTTACTTCTTTGGAAGAAATCTTCAAACTCCAATTTGCCGAAAGGAAAAGATATGCTGGTAAGAAAGTACTCATTATGTTCAAATACTTTATAGGTGTTTCAAGATTGAACATGCTACATATATATATATATATATATATATATATATATATATATATATATATATATATATTTTGAGCAGAATTGTGCACATAAAGGAGAGGTATTGGCTTCCAAAGTAACTTTGTCTGAACTATTAGCGGATCCTCCATCAATTTCGGCACCTATTCTGATCAGTGCTAGTAACTTTGAGGACTCTAAGAAGGGTATACCTACACAATTGCCAAAGAGTGGAACAAATAGTTCGTCTTCACAAGCGGTTGGAAATGATAATGCAATTAGCAACTTTGGCAAACCAGAAGATCCTGAGAGGATTAGGCTTGACCGAGCCGCTGCAAAGGCACAGGCTGCTTTTAGAGGTTATCTGGTAGCGTACTCTCTCTTTAAAGCCAAGGTTACTGTGTCTGTGATAGTTAAAGATCTTGGGGAGTAATAAAATGGCTAAGCCTTTTACTGCTGTAGTTTCATTCAGCCCTTCTGATTATGTTGGAAGCAGCATTACTGTTTATTTTATTTGATTTGGCATTTGGATGGTAACATTGGCCTTTGTCGCTCTGCATCATGCCTTGTGTTAATGTTTGCTTGACCTTATTTTAGGACTACTATCATTCTAAAGTCATGTAGTTTTATTGATGGAAATGTTATTTGTGGAAGGCTTGCGGGGCGTTTCAAACCCTCAAGGGGATCATAAGGCTGCAAGCACTTATCCGCGGTCACTTGGTTAGGCGACAAGCTGTGTCTACTCTGTGCTGTACATGGGGAATTGTTAAGTTCCAGGCATTAGCTCGTGGTCAAAAGGTAAGATGTTCAGATATCGGCATTGAAGTGCAGGAAAAACATCTAAGACTGCCTCAGGTGTTCTTTTTTCTTATAAACCATTGTGTGATGATACAAGTTGTTTGATGCCCTAGTTATGTTCATTGCTTATGTGAAAGTGCTTTAATTATAAAGCATTAGTGCCTATGACATTAAATTATCTTGCTTCTAAGATAAATATCATTTATTCATTTAATCAGGGTTCTAAAACCTCAGATCCATTCAGGATTAGTGCATTTTCTCGGGTGAAGAATTCAACAAACAAGGTGTTTGTTCAGAAGGTATGGTCTTTTTCTTTCCTTTACTTTCCAATACTATGTAAATGTGATCTTCTTTGCTGATTGTGAGTCCATGATGATATTTAGCCTTTAGGACATTTTTCATGCTCCTAACAAATTTCCAGCTTGTGCTTATGCATTCCATCACTTTCAGCTTCTAGCTTCGTCACCTTCTGTGTTTCCTCTGCGACTTCAATATGGTCCAGAGGAACCTAACTCGTTATGGCAGTGGCTTCGACGCTGGACATTTTCACGTTTTTGGGAACCCTCTTCACAAATAATTAGGAGTCTGATATTGAAGTCTCAAACAAAGAGAAGTGTGTGGAAAGTCTCCAATGCGAAAGTAGAAAATGGAGCTTGTTTTACTTCAGAGCATGAAAAACTGAAATGTGGTGTAAGCAAAGTTTCTGGCAACTCAACAGCAGATACAGTTCCAGAGCATCCTCAAAATGAACTCGAGAAGGTTAAGCGCACTTTAAAAAGACTTACCACGAAGGAGGTTTCTAAAAAGTCCGAGGTTGTTAGGGATAAAACAACACAGACTCTGACAAGAACTACTGATGCTTCTGATGTTTCAGAACAGGAATCCGATGAGAAGATGATGAGAGATGTTAGTACACTACTATCAAACCCATCAAAACTTCAGGCAGATATGATATTATCCCAAGAAGACACCTCTCTTGACGAGCCTAGTGTCTCTCCTGCAGTTGACTTGGCACCTGCTGAAAACGATGCTAAAATTGAAAACATGCCGGTACCAGAGGAGTCAAGCTCTAAGGATGAGAAGATCGGTGGTATGAGCTCAAAAAAACTAAACCAATGGAGAGCTTCTTTCCCTGCAAAAACTGGTAATCTAGAAGAAATTGGATTAAACAAAACGCCAAAAGTGCCCAGTTATATGTCACCAACTGAATCTGTGAAAGCTAGGCTTAGGAGTCAAGGCTCTCCAAGGTCTGGTGCTTGGGAAGTGGTCGATAAGAATGGGTTAAACAGGCGATATTCGCTGTCATCTTCAACCAATAGCAATCTAGGTTCACTTTCACCGCGTGCTCAAAGACAAGCTCATGTAGCTGGTAAAGGAGGTAAGCATGAGTTAAGATAGATGTTTTATGCCTCTGCATTTGTGTTGCCATATCAGTACTATCTTGTATGCGGCTTAGTTTACCCTTTTCTTTCAGTAAGACACAGTGGTCCTTCACATCTTTGTACTACATTCATGTCTAGTTAAGCATGATCATGTTGGTTGTTCAAATTTCATATCGGTATTGATTGCTTGGCATTTTCAGATAAGGTGGTCAGAGCGGAGTGGAGGAGGTAATCCTCACACAAGGAAGCGTTTCATGTTCTCTTGCAGTTCAAGGAGTTGATGCAAGTTTCATCACACGTCCATCGAACCAGGAAAATTAACAATCTAATCGTTTGTTTGGTGGGTGCATTTTTAAGTGCACTAGTATTTCGAGGTGTGTAAATTGGCAAATAGTGGTATTAGTTAATTTCCTTTTCACCCTTTTGTATCAGAGTTGAAACATAATTGTAAGCAAGTGTGTTTATCTGCTTTTGTAGGTGTCGATGTTTCCCTTAGAATTCTTAACAAAGTGATTTCTTTTAAAATAAAAATCCATCTTTTAGTCACCATTCTGGTTAATAGTTGCTTTAAACAAAAAGTATCAATTACTTGAGACAAAATTAATAAGATGAAACTCACTTTCACAGGTTATCCAAGAATTACAATGTCTTCACGAGGTACAATATTCGATGAATATTACAGAGAATAGAAGCTACATGACAGACTCAGAGAAGAACGAAAATCAATGGCCAAAGAAAATACAAACCAAGATTAAATCATAGAAAATATCAAGTAAATTCATTCGTAGGAATTTTGGAAATTACAACGTATGATGATTTTTTTGGCTCAGTCAATATGATTTTTTTTAATATAATCATAAAGTCATGACCAAAATAGAATGCCTCGTTAAAATCTTCTCTAAACCTAACAAACCCAAACTCCGTCTAAATTGGCATCTCAAATCGGCAAAGAGGACAGTAGTGACTTCTTTCAACCACTTGTCGATGTAATGATCGGGAAAAGTATGAGAGCACGGTATTCGAGAAGCTGTTGAGCCGACCTCGATTTCCTCGAGACATATGAGGCAGTCTTCGCTCTTCACTCGCCTCTTTTTCCTACTTCGTTGGTATTCATCTTTGTCTTCCACTCGAACCCTTTTCAACATCTTCTTTACCGACGACTCATTCGCCGGAACCATGCAGTTGTTTCCCGCCAATGCCGATTCCGCCAAAGCTCTCCTTAGCGAATCCCTTTCCCGGATGAAGTGTTGAGTAACTTTGTCGATGATCTCAAAGGCAGAACCTCTCGTCCCGTGTTGGAATCACGCTTTCCGAATGTGAGCGCGTGATGGATGATGTTATCAACGATCATGCCAAATTCAAGAGATGTTGGGTCGACTGGAAATCTCCTTAACATGTCGACAATGATATCGCGATCCTGTTTCTTGTGTTTCAAGATACGGAATTGAAGCGAAGAGTTTGTTGAGGGAAGTGAATCAAATATTCAGTAAACCGATGATGTAAACAGTCATGAAGGCAGATTACACTATCGAAGGTGATGGTTACTTCGATTTGAACGGAATGACGGATGGGATATTTTTCTGGTACAGTATGAGCTTGGTAAAGGTCAATCAGGTGTATGCCATCAGGCAGATGAGAGAACGAAGCCATGGAATGGATTAAACTTGAGCAGTAAGTTTTTCTCTGTGTTGGGTTAAATTAATTGTGTGGTATTTATAGAAGTATGTGTGGCGATAAGTGTAATTTATCAACGGTCAACAACATTTTATTGATATATTTTTTAAGTTGAGAGTTTAATTAAATGTAATTTTGATGAAAATGCTCGCTTCAAATCTTTAAAAGGAAATGTAAAAGCTTACATGAAAATATAGAAATAATTCAACATATTTTGATTAATTATATATATATATATATATAAAAGGTTATGATGTAATTTTGTGTTTTCATTTTAATTAAAAAACAATTAAATTCATTACACATATCTTAAACAAATCGTCAATAAATTTAAAATCCATTAAAAATAAAAATATATAAAGTTATTCTAATTTTTTTAAATTTTAAGGATATAAAATTTAAAATATATATTAAAAATTATTATATGAAGTATTAATGTGTTAAGAATTATATAAATTTTAACAAATATATGAAATGTTTTTATTATTATTTCTAGATAGAAAATGTTATTGACTTCTGTATTTGTTCTGATTGTACGTTTGTGAAATGTTTTTCTTTTATTATTTCTACATAGAAAATGGTATTGGCTTTTGTATTTGTTCATCTGATTATACGTTTGGTAATTGATTAACTTAAAAATTTGCTTACATTTTTTATTTTTATTTTCTCTTTTTTTAAAAGAAAAAGGATATAACTAAAAGTGTTTATTAAGTGAGTTGAGACCGCGAGTTGATCATTGCTTTGCTTAGCTCATGCGATATATATATATATATATATATATATATATATATAATATATATATATATATATATAACTCAATAGAACTACGTGTAGGGATTAAGTAATTTATATATCATTGGTTAAAAGCATTTCATTGATATAACTTTTTAAGTTGAGAGTTTAATTAAATAAATAAAAAACCCTACTTACCTTTTTTCCTCTTCTTCTCTATTCTCTTTTTTTTCTTCTCAACTTATGTAACTTTTATTGATCAATCCAATTTCTTCTTCTTTAATTTTGTTCAACTGGCGGCGGTACTGGTTTTGAAGTTGGTTACCGCCCACTGATTGTCTTTTTTCTTTATTTTTTATTTGTTTAACAAAAATAATTATGTCTTTGTGATATGTTCTCTGTCTTTATGGCACATTTATTTCTGCCATTGTGAAACATTTTTCTCTATCTTTTGGTAGCTTACGGTTTTTTGCCGTTGTTTTCGTATATTTTTTCTCAGGGTTGGATTTGACATCGCCACGACTAATCAAGATGACACTTATTTGTTATCATGCTGATCTTCCCTGTTTTGGACCTCGGATTGATTTGGATATGCGTTTTACATTTGTGGATATTTTTTTCACGTCGCTTGACTCTAATTTGTGATTTTTCGGTGGTTTTTAGTAGTTTCATTCCTTTTTGTGGTTCGTTTGCCAATGCAGTCAGTGTAATATCCCGAATCCCGGGTTAGTAGTTCAGGTCAACCCGAAGCCCAAAGTTGAGCCATTGTACCTTATATTATATTAGTTAGACCAAGTTATTGTTAGTGGGCTTGAGTTAGGGCCCAAGAGAGTTAACGAAGGGTGATGAGTAAAATATGAAATAAAAGTAAAGGGGCTAAAAGTTTAGTTTACCTAGAGCTATTTTGGAAGCTGAAAATCCCTCCTTATATTATGTTTTCATCGTGAACAACCCCATTACACAACTCACCAAACACTCTTCCTATCTTTTCATCTTTTTCTCTTCTTCTATCTTCTTTAAGTAAGAATCTCAAAGAAATTCAAGCCTAGTTGGATCCATCCAAGTTAAGATTATTAAACCTCATCCTTCTAGCTTCATTTTGAGCTCCTTTTCACTAGTTTTTATCCATAGAATCAAAAATCAGTTTTGAGAGTTTTGTGGGAATATGTAGATTTTAGCTAAGTTTTGAGTTACAAGGAGTTTGTTTATATGTTATTCAACCCCTAGATGGATTGGTAATCCATTTTCTCATTTTTTTAGTGAAGGAGATAGGAGAAAGCTCAAGAGCTAAAGAAAAATAAAAGTTGAATATTGTGAGTTGAGAAAGTTTCTAGCCATCCAAAAAGCAAGGTAACACCTTTACAACTCTTCTATACTCTTAGTGAGTCATTAGAAGTTCAAAATAGTTTAAATAGCTGAGTTGAGCATGATAAGCATTTCCATGATGAAATTCTTATTTTAGAGTTTTAAATGTGTTTAAAGCCTCTATTATGACCCTTGTTGATCAAATAAAACTTTAAGCATGTTTTGGGACCTCACTAAGGTCTTTGGGATTGAATACATTTTAGTATGTGTTATATGATTTTCTACAGTTAAAGTATCAATACTATTGAGATAATATCAATTCTAGTTCTTCGTTTTGGACAAATTCGTGAGTTTCTGAAAAAAGTATCGATACTCTTTCAAGAGTATCGAAACTTTGGGTCATAGTTTCTAGACTCCCATAAAGTTTCGAAACTAGGCAGAATAAATTGTTTAAAAGTATTGATTCTTATATAAAGTATAAAAACTTTTGCAGTAGTATCGATACTCTTGGGTTAGTATCGATACTTTCAGTCTATTTGGGCAAAAATGTCAGTTTTTAAGGGAATTAGACTTGAGGTACCCCAACACTTCTTTTTATCATCAAATAAGACTACAAGTGGGAGTATTAATGATATTAATTACACTTAGAAACAAGATTTATTACGATGACATAAAAACAACCTTGGACGATGCTCGGGAAATGACCAGGACACTGAGTCTCTTTAGAAAATGCTAGCATTATCGAAAGTATAGATTCAGTCCGAATATATCCTTAGGTAGGGCCGAGGACCTTCTGACTAACTATGTTTACCGAGGCCTTAACACTCCTTAGAAGAAAGGGTGGGTTAGTCAGGGGTATGGTTTCCGATGCAGAGAATTCCGGGGGCCATATCCAGGGTAGACTAGAGGGGTGTGTGAGCTCCGAGATGCAGAACCCTCAGCCGCACCATGATGTCTACCATAACGTAGAGAGTGAGTATTTGAAAATACTCACGAAAGCAATTTTAAAGTAGACTAGCTTGGGTGCAAAGTCCAACACTCAAGTACTGGGCTAGTAGAATATAACAGATAGCAGTAGACTTGATAACTTGAGCATGTCATGGACACTTTTAGGATGGCTAAGTTGTTAGTGTGGCACTAGACTAGTTAGTTCAATGTTTGGAATTTGCTTCCTTACGCAGGTTAGTCGAGGAACAATCCGAGGACTTTTTGACAGCAGTGATCCAAACCCAGCTAGTGCAGAGTACTTCTCGAGTTCATCCTTAGAGGGCATGTATATTTGTAAACCCCGATTTGTATATTTTTGTATGATTCGTAACTCATTTTATACTATGGTTTGTATGTTTTAAACATTTTTTGGGAGCTCCTAATGTAAATATTTTATTTAAATTGTAGTTGACTTTTAGCATGAGTGGTTACAAATAGTCATTTTAAAAGAATTTTTTTATTAGTCACTCCAGTGGTTCCGTGAGGTATTCTGATCGGTCAATTGTGTGTCGTACTAGTTTAGGGTGTTACATTCGGATTTGTTTGTATCATTATTTTGTTCGAGTATTGATTAGATTTTTTAATCTTTTCTTTTTTCGGTCCTTGTGTGATCTAGGTGTCTAATTTTTGTGTCAATGGTTATAGAAAACTGTCCCAATTATAATTTAGTTTACGGTTATGCTTGTAAATCTTCATTATAATTCTAAATATTTTTTATTTTTAATAAAACTAGC